GCAGCAGTTGTGCTGCTGCTGCTGCTGCTGTTGCCTGCAGCAGCAACAGCAGCAGCAGCAGCAGCAGAGGCCTTCCTACAAGGAGCGCTGGGGGCAGGCGGCGTGAGGTGTACAGACACCCTAGGGGAGATGAAGAAAATATTATTTATGCTCGTCTTCTCTCCTTCTAAGCTAAGCTGCAAGCCTAGGCCTCGCTGCTGCTGCTGCTGCAACTGCAGCAGCAGCAGGAGCAACAGCAGCAAACAACGCTGCTGCAGCAACTGCTGCAGCAACTGCTGCAGCAGCGGCCGCTGCGCGCGAGGCCAAACCCCCATACGCCCGAGGAATAACCCAGAGAGACATGGGCCCCTTAAGATAACCCTAAACCCTAAACCCTAAACCCTAAACCCTAAACCCCCTCCTCAAGCTCAGCCGGAGGCAGGAGGTGTGGCGGAGCTGAGCATGGCAGATGAAATGCGACTCGTACCTTAGGGTTTAGGGTTTAGGGTTTAGGATTTAGGGTTTAGGGTTTAGGGTTTAGGGCCGGGGATGGCACACACCACTCCCACACACCTCGTAGCTCCGACCCTAAACCCTAAACCCTAAACCCTAAACCCTAAACCCCCTCCTCAAGCTCAGCCGGAGGCAGGAGGTGTGGCGGAGCTGAGCATGGCAGATGAAATGCGACTCGTACCTTAGGGTTTAGGGTTTAGGGTTTAGGATTTAGGGTTTAGGGTTTAGGGTTTAGGGCCGGGGATGGCACACACCACTCCCACACACCTCGTAGCTCCGGAGGTTGAGGGTTTAGGGTTTAGGGTTTAGGGTTTTGGTGTGTAGAAGGCATGGAATTAGGAGAGGGTGAGGCTTCGGTTTCTGTATAAAACCCCAAGCACCGCACCTCAAACCCTAAACCCTAAACCCTAAACCCTAAACCCTAAGCCCTGTAGCATCGACCGCGATATGCTGATAAAGGAACAGACAAGAGAAGGGTTTAGAGAAGAGTATAAGAATTGATAGTATACAAAAAGAAGTGTTTTTAAATTAAAATGCCTGTAGAAGACAAACCCTAAACCCTAAACCCTAAACCCTAAACCCTAAAACCTACGCAGCAACTCCAACGGTAGCGCTCAGATCGGCGCCTAAGCGAAACAACTAAGCTAATAAGTATGAAGGTGGTTTGCTGCTTCTTCTTATAAGCAAACCCTAAACCCTAAACCCTAAACCCTAAACCCTATACCCTAAACCCTCAAATACGACGAAACAACCGTTCTCTCCACCTTGGGCTCATCGCTGCTGTCCCTGTCTCTTTTAACCCCTAAGCCCTAAACCCTAAACCCTAAACCCTAAACCCTAAACCCTAAACTCTAAACCCTATACCCTTAATTTTCAAATGATTATGTGTGCCACTTAGGGTCTCACCTCGAAACCCTAAACCCTAAACCCTAAACCCTTATACACCCTGGAAGACCCCGGCTTGACTGTATGCTCAAATTTGACCGCTAAACCCTGCGCCCTAAACCCTAAACCCTAAACCCTAAACCCTATCTTCTAAAAGAAGAAGATGCGCTTTGTCTGTTTCTTGCTGCTCCTGTTGCTGCGCCTCAACATAGCCACTGCGTCTGGACAAGAAAGAGTAAGAATCTGCTGCTGCTGTTGCAGCTGCTGCTGCAGCTCCTGTTCTCGTTGCTGTTGCTGCTGTCGCAGATGCTGCTGTGTTTACAGTTGCTGCGGCCTGCTGCGCTCATTGCTGCTGCCTCTCCTGCTGCTGCCGTTGCTGCTGGTATTCTCATTGCTGCTGCTACGCTCCCCGTCCATGCCGCTGCAGCTGCAACATCAGCAGCGACAGCAGCAGCAGCAACAGCAAGAGCAGCAGCAACATCAACAGCAGCAGCAGCAGCAGCAACAGCAAGAGGCGCACCATCTGTGCGTGCTGCTCGGTTGTTTCCCATGTGCCGTTGCGCCATTTGCAGCAGCAGCAGCAGCATCTTCTGCTGCTGCTGCTGCTGCAGCATATCCGGTGTCTAGTT